GTAGCAGGCGGCAGGGATTCTTGAAATTGCGGTGTAACCTACGACGCTCGCACTCAGTTACTTGTCAGGGAAAGCTTCGAGTCTCAAACTGTGGTGTTGGTCCCTGGACAAAGGGCTCTCGCGTGACACTCCCTCACAACCTATTCAGGAACCGCGCTCCCGCTCGAGACGCCCTTGCCATTTACTCAGGAATCGCGGTCTCGCCTGGACTTCTTCACACTGTGTTCAAGCATCGCACTCTCGACACCGAGGAATCGCGATTGAATGCCCCGCCCGACCCGCCCAATAGGGCTCGTCCGTTAGACCCGATCGTGATGGTCCGCCCGTCAAGGCCCGCCCACCCGACCCGCTCGTCAATGTCCGCCAGCGTGATTGCTTGGGAACCTGGCCGCCCGCTTTAATATTTCGGCGGTGGACAAGCCTCTCTTTAATAAACCACCCTTTAGTGAAAACGGCCTAGGACCGAAACCGACGGACCTGGACCCGCAAACATGACGGCCGCGACGCTCTCTCGCGAACCAGAAACGGCCAATTCGCTAATCGACGTGTCAGGGTAGGAGGTCTATCTACCTCCGATTAATATTTCGAACGCCAGACCAGCCCCTTAGGAACCGCCCGCCCGACCCGTCCGCTGGGGTCTGCCCACCCCGCCCGCCCAACCTGCTCGTCAAGGCTCCTCTCCTGACCCGTGCCGCGGGGTCCGCTCGCCCGACCCGCCTGTCACAAAGTCCGCCCGCCCGACCCCGACACGCCCGCATTAACGTTTGGTCGGGAACGTCCCCATACAGGCGGATTTTGGAGGAAAGGTTGAAACGATTCAAAAAGATACTCAAAAATGCTCAACAATAGTAAAACAAATCGTCCCCGTACTTTTTGACTATTTTGGAGCACCCCCCCTGTAGAGGGATAGACCCGACTTAACATTAATGCCCCGCCACCCCGATCCGCCTGGTAGGATCTGCCCCTTCCCTTGCTGGGAGGCCCGCCCATCCGCTCGAAAGTCCCGCCCGCCCGTCCCGCCCGTCAGGGTGCCGCCCGCCCGATCCGCCCCTCAGGGTCCCCCCGCCCGACTCGCCCGTGAAGGCCCGGCCGCCCGCCTCGCCTGTCCTATCCCGTCGAGGTTGTAACCCAGGAGCTGGCGTGGGGAAAGAGAGGGGCTCAGCCGAGCCCCGCTCGCCGGGGGTGCTCAGGCGTGCAGAGTGATGGACTGTCCCTTCCTCTCTGTCCCCCCCCTGGCGTCTGAAGTCCAGTTCGAGCGGGGGCCCGGGGGTGAGCCTGGGGGTGGGGGGGTGCTCGTCGACGCAACCTGGGGGTTTAAAATTCTACACTCCGTGGCCTCCAGGATGCCCAAGATGCCATCCAAGCTGGCTCACGCTGGGCTCCAACACGCCGAGGAGTCCTTGAAGACGAGCACGATGGCCTCTAAACTGCCGAAGGGGCCTCGAAGATACCACAAAGGAGCTCCAAGACGACCCCCGAAAAGGCCCAAAGAAAGAAGATTCGCAAGCGCCCACTGGGAAGCCCCAGAGATCGCTCCAAGACGTCCACAAAAGCCCCCTTGAGAGCCCCAAGACGGCCGAAGAGGGTCCCAAGACGGCCCACGATGCGCCCAAGATGGACCAAGAGGGAGAGCCCAAACACGAACCCAGCATGGGCCCAAGAGAGGCAACTCGAACTGACATTCCGAGCCCTCCACCCCAAGAGGGCCCCCGAGACAACCAGCAGGCGCCCAAGAAACTCCCAAGATGCCCGTAGAGGCCTCTAAACGACCCCCATGGGGCCCCCCAAAGGGCTTATCCGTGGACTTCGTTCCTCTTCTGGGGGTCGGCGGAATGGCGTAAGCCTCTTGAATACGTTCGTAAACGAAGAAGGCGGGATTCGAGGGCTAAGGGGATGTAGAGTGACACGCGTGCAACGAGGAGCAAACAGTCTCAACAGAAGTGTTGCAGTTCGGAGCCCTGGATGAGTGCGCAAGCGAAGGGGGCTGGCGAACCATGGCAATTTAAACTTCAGGCGTTTGTATTCCACTCGCGAACTGGCTGCTCTTTTCGAGAGCCATGTTCTGTCGTATTTCGATTTCGCACATCAGCAATGTCTCGTGCTTCTTCCTCCGCTTTTTCTGGTTTTGGCGAAAACGCAGTTAAGGCGAATGGCCCAGCCCATCGGATAACCCCAGGTGGAGGTATGCGTGGGGGCACGGTGCGCGTGAGGAATGTGCCAAGATGAGCCCAGGGACGTCGTGAGCGGACCTCCACTGGGGCCGCGAGTGGGATAGGGCATGATCTGTGCGAGGGCCGTGCAGAATGGGCGAGGGGTCACCTCCATGGGGGCCATCGATGGAGCTCCCTGCGGGGGGCTCTATCTGCACGAGGGTCTCGCCGAAATGAGCGCGGGGACGCCATGTGAGAATCCAAGTGAAGCCACAAGCGGAGCTCCCTTTGAGGCACGAGAAACGTGAGAGGTGCGGCGAGATGGGCGTGGTGGCGCCGTGCAAACGCACCCTATGAAGCCACAGGTGGACCTCCCTAGAAACGCGCCGAAGTGGGCGCAGCGGCGTCACGCGGACGCTAACAATGGGGCCATCAATGGAGCTCCCTGGCGGGCACGAAACGTGTGACGTGCGTGCCGAAATGTGCGCGGCGGTGCCATGCGGACGCGCCCACTGGGAACATGCGAAGAACTCCCTGTGGACATGGGCGGGGCGGCTCCATGCGGACGCACCCTCTGAGGCCATGCGTGGGGCTCCTGCTGGGGAAGTAAACCTATGAGGGTGTGCAGAGTGGGCGCGGCGGCGACATGCGGACATGCGGACGCACCCGATGGTGCCAGAAATGGAGCTCCCTGTGGGACCGAACACGTGTGAGGGGTGTGCCGAGATGTGCGGGGGGGCGCCGCATTCGAAGAGGAGGGGGAGAGCCGGGGGGGGAGGAGAGGATGAGAGGCGGCATGGAGGAGCAGGGTGATCGAGGAGGCGGCGAGGAGGAGGCGCGTGGCGCTGCGGGTTCAAAACGAGTGACGAAGGCCCAACGCACAGGAGGGTTGGTGAACAACGGGTGCGAGCGTCGAAGGGCGCAGTTCAATCGAGAAAGACAAGTGGGCACAGGACTGAGGGCACACCAGCGATGATCAATCCTCAGAAGTGGAAGTTCAGCCACACCAGCATGCCACCATCCTCCTCCTCCTCCTCCTCCTCCTGCTCCTGCTCCTCCTGCTCCTGCTCCTCCTCCTCCTCCTCCTCCTCCTCCTCCTCCTCCTCCTCCTCCCCCCCCTCCTCCTTCTAGTCCTCTCCCTCCTCCCCCTCCTCCTTTTCCTACCCCTTCTTCTTTCTTCCTGGGCGCAACATAGCGCGGTCATGTCTTTGTTCAATCGTAGGGCCCGCAACTTAAAAAAAACAGAAGTAGAGAGAGGCGACCCCGCAGCCTCTGACACATCTGGCCAATCTTCCCTCTGAGGGAGGAGGAGCCCCCTGGTGAGCCTTTCCAAAGCTTTCTTGCCTGCAACGGAAGGGTCGCTTGCAGGCCTTCCCCAACACATTCAAGCGCTGATGCCCCGAAGCGCCGCGCAATTCACACCACCAGAGCCCGCGCAGGCACCGAACACAGTGGGTCCGGTGGATCTGGCGGGGCTGGCTAGCTGCCACGTCGGACCGATAGTGCTCCGCTTGGCGCGGCTCAGCCCCCGCCCAGCTGCGCAGAACGGACCGTCAGTGGCCCGTGGTGCGCGGCTCGGCCCCTGCCCAGCTAGCTGCGCAGCTCGCACCGCTCGTGGTCCGTCTCGCGCGGCTCGGCCCCCGCCCTGCTGGCTGCCCACGTCGGGCTGTGCGTGTCTTGCGCGGCTCGGCCCCGCCCAGCTGATCACCGGCCTGGGCCCTCCGGAGCGAGCCGCTGGGCCCGCGGGAGCGCCCGCGAGGGCGAAGGTGGGCCACTGGGCGCGCCGTACAGTATGCCGCCCCTCCTTCCCCGCGGTGGCCTGGACGGTCCGGGGCGAGGCGAGGCTGGCGGCAGCGCGGCAGCCTCCACCCGCGCGGCCTGTCCTGGCCGTCGGGCGGCGACGAAGTCTGCGGGCGGGGGGTCGGGGGACGCCTGACGGGCCTGCACGACATCCAGGCCCGGAGGGACGATTTATAACTCGCACACGGTCATAAGGACGCGCGACAAGGGCGCAAGGGCCCCGGGAGGCCATGTCGACACTTTGCGAGCGGGGCGCGGCCTGCGACCAAGGATGGACCAGAGGGGAAAGATGTAAGGGTAACCTTGGAAAGTCGCTCGTCCTCACTGTGCGGGTTACTGCACCTCCGTTACATGATCTGCTGGTCGAGGTTGTTGGGTGGCTTGCTGACGGGTCTGGTCCGGGAAGGTGTCTCAGGCAAGGGTAGGCCCCTGGAAGCCCAGCGGTATCTTGGGGGGTGTAGTGGGCACTTCTCCTCCTCCTCCTCCTCTTCCTCCTCCTCCTCCTCCCCATCCTCCTCCTCCTCCTGGTCCTCCTCCTGCTCCTCCTCCTGCTCCTCCTCCTCCTCCTCCTCCTCCTCCTCCTCCTCCTCCTCCTCCTCTCGAGGCAACCGGCGCCGGGTCCAAGCGGAGCCTGGGCTACTCCTCGTCGTCGCCGCCGCTGCCGTCGAAGTCGCCGCGTTCGCCGCCGACGCCCAACTTGCCATCGCTCGGATGTCCATTCCCCATGCACGTGTCCGTTCCGTGCGTATCTTCTGTTTCGCAAGCTGATCCAAGATGCCCCCCACTGGTTCACACTTGCTGGTGCTGGCCTCGCAGAGAAAAAACGCACACGTCCGAGCGATGCCAGGCTAGGTCATCGTCGCCCTCCTCCCTCGGGCAATGGTAACAACTCCTGGGAGGTATTCGTAAGAATGATGACCGGAAATGGAACCCGATCAGGGGGCCGTGTAGCCGGATTGAGCCAGAGTATGCCCAGGCTTGAGCCCGACAATGCGGGATGATGGCGACCATCGGCCACGGATATACCAGCGCCGAAGCCGAAGGAAACCTCCCGGGAGTTGCGTCTTAAGCGCAGCGGAGCCGGACGGGGAAGGGGCATGCGGCATGCGCACCGACGGACGCTTGCATGCTCCCGCTGGTCTTGGCCCTCTCCAGGTGCAGCGTCCTGCGGGCGCGCCGTCCTGCTCGCGCTGTGGCGGCGTGCTGCGGAATCGCCCAGCCGTGGAGGAGGAGGAGGAGGAGGAGGAGGAGGAGGAGGAGGAGGAGGAGAAGGAGGAGGAGGAGGAGGAGGAACACGGGAAGCCCAAAATGCATCAGCGATGCTGCAGCACACCCCAACGTCCCAACGTCCCCTCCCCATGAGTCCCCGAGAACATCTTCCTGTCACTGCGGAGGCACAGCCTTGAGAGACGAGCGCCCCGTGGGCGTTGCCCATGCCCCTCCTAGACTGGATGCGTGTGTAGCTATGTAGCTGTGCTCATTCGCTCGTGCACAGGACAAGTTCCGACACAACTTGCGTGCGGTCCGGCGTGCCTGGAGTCTGGGGCGCCTCAGGAAGGTCCAAGACGGCCTGACAAGGCCCCAAGATGTCCCGAAGAGAGACCCGAATTCATGCTGAAGACTGCCCAAGATGGCCGCAAGAAATCCCGACAGCTCCTTCGACAGTCCACGAGGAATCGAGGATGGTCCTCCGGAGGCCCCCGAGAGGAAACCATGATTGATGTTTCACCCGTTTTCGTAAGATGTTGGCACGCTCGCATTCTCAGCACACAAAACCTCCAGCCAAGACGGCAGAACACGATGCCCTCCCTTGGTTCCTTCTCCTTCTCCTTTTCTCCTCCTCCTCCTTTTCTCTCCTCCTCCTCCCTTTCTCTCTCCCCTTCTTTCATCCGCCTCCTTCCTCCGCCTGCCCACCCACCCACCCCTATCTCCTCCGTCCCACCCACGCACCTCCTCCTCCTCCTCCTCCTCCTCCTCCTCCTCCTCCTGCTCCCCCTCCTCCCGGTCCTCCTCCTCCTCCTCCTCCTCCTCCTCCTCCCTCCTCCCTCCTCCTCCCCCTCCTCCTCCTGCCTCCTCCTCCTCCTCCTCCTCCTCCTCCTCCTCCTCCTCCTCCTCCTCCTCCTCCTCCTCCTCCCCCTCCTGCAGGCCCCGACGAGCCGTCCGCGTGAGGCCACCTTCGCAGCGCAGCTTGAGCTGCGTGAAGGCGACCCCGTCGCTCTGGTAGGGGCTCGACTGCTCCACCTCGCGGGGCGCACGCCCCCATGGCTCCTCGCGCCCTAGCCTTTGCGGCACGCCCCCCTAACAAATTAAGAGGAGGATGAGGAGGAGGAAGATCGAACACTCAAAACGTCTTGAGGGCCACGGCGTCAACAATACCAGCATTCCGTGCAAGGCTGCTCGCTCGTCGTCGCCCGCGTAGGCCCTCGGCTTCCGTCCTCTTCGTTCGCGAACATGCATTTTTTTTCTGTTGGAGGGGGGCTTCCGTTTGTCATGCCACCTGCTGGGTGAACCCCGACACGACAGCACTCTTGCATCATCCGCAGAGCGCCCTGTGGCAGAAAGAAGAGGGAGGAGGAGGAGGAGGAGGAGGAGGAGGAGGAGCTAGGCGCGCTCGCGCCTCATCTGACATCCTATCCATCTTTCCATCCCTTCACATTGCGCTATTTTCTTCTCTATCTGCGGGCGCGTGTCATAACCGACCTGCAAATCCAACCAACAGAGAATACCGTATTATGCGCAATCGGGGCAAAAGAAAGAGCCGCGTGCACAGGAGGAGGAGGAGGAGGAGGTGCCGGGTGAGCAGGATGAGAGGAAGGAAAAGGACAAGGACGAACATCAGCAGCAGCAACTGAAGCGGAAGGAGCGGCAGGAACAGGAGGACCAGGGAACGGCGGAGGAGGGGAAGTGAGGGGGCGACAACAATGAAGCTTGACTGGAATCCGGCAAAGTGGCCCGCGCTGGGGCGAGAGCGCCATTCTGAACGGCGGGGGCAAAGCGCCGATCCGAAAATGAGGCCCGCTTCGAAAAACCGACAACAATCGGATTGCACACCAATAGTGAGGTGTGCTTGTATGCGTATATGAATATACATACATATATGTGTGTATATATATATGTGTGTGTGTGTGTGTGTCTGTGTGTGTGTGTGTCTGTGTGTGTGTGCGAAGAACTCCTGAATGTAAAAGACGGCATCCTCTGGACGGAGTCAGTGGAAAAAATAGAATGGCACTTGTGCAACCGTGGGGGAATAGGGGCAGGAGGAGAAGGAGGAGGAGGAGGAGGAGGAGGAAGGTAGCATGCGGGTGCTGCCGAATCCCGATATGCGCGGGTCGGGCGGGCGGACACTACCGGGTTCGGGGTCGGCTGCGGGCGGGCCGGGCGGGGCGGGACACGAACGGGCGGGCGGCACGCGAGAGCGGGCGAGCGGCTGCCAAGCACGGGAGCGGGCGGGCCCCGACGGGCGGGTCGGGCGGGCGAGACCGTGGAGCGCGGTGCCCGGGTAGACCTCGGGGAGGTGCCCAGGAGGGGGGGCAACGCGAGCTGGCATGTCGAGCCCTCCGCCCCAAGAGGGCCCCCGAGACCGCCGGCAAGCGCCCACGAAGGCCCGAAGCGGCCGCCAAGCCCCCGAAAAGGCCCTCACACGGGCTCACCCGTGGACGTCGCTTTTCCTCCGGGGGGATGGCGGAAAGGCGTAAGCCTCTCGAAGAAATCTTGGGGCGGGGGGTACCCAGCGAGAGGGCGATTTTTATGTAATGTCTAAGGAAGTCCTGGGCGACAGTGCAGCTTCTGAGCGGCGAGATCGCCCGAAGCGAGAACACGGTTCCTGAGCAGCGAGAGCGCGAGTCCTGAATCAATTCCAGGAAACCCCAGGCGAGATCTGGTCTCTTCTGAAAGCTTCAAAGAAGTCTCGAGCAAGAGCGCGGTTCCTGTTGACAGATGTGAGGCATCATCAGGCGGGGCCCGTGGCTGTTGTGTCCAGGGGCCCAGGGGCAGAGCTCAAACAACAAGACTTGACCTCATGAAAAACAAGGTGCTGGCGCCAGGGGAAACTTCCATCGAGAAATACGGTGGGGACGGGACTGCGGGTCAACAATACTTGGTCTTCAACGCTGCGAACGCAAAAAAAACACACACCTTGTTTGTTTCGAGCGGCCCCCACCACCGCAACCGCCGGCAATTGACCGCACGCACGCTGACCCGATGCAAACGGGAAGAGGCGGGAGAGGAGACTGCGGCGGAAGAAAAAATATGGAGGCAAATGAGAACTCGTTGCCCCGTCCGCTTGCTGGCATCAGTGTTTTTTTTACGCCCTGTCGTTTTCGTTTTTTTCTCTGTCGCCATGAGCACTGGCGGTCCGTGCAGCCTCCGACACCCGCGGAGCACGCGGTTGCCCTGTCCACAAAGGCCACGCCGGCGGAAATCATCGGACGAACGGGCCGCCGAGCACGCCCAGCTGCGGCTCCGGCTCCTCCCCTCGCCACATCCCGCTGGGCCGGTGCACCAGGCCGCCGAACTGGCCGCCGCGGATCTCCCCGCCTCCATCAAACATGTACCGGTCAGGGTACTTTTTCTTGAAATACTTATACATGTGCATCTTTTGGCCGAGGGGCGTGATAATGTAATGGTAGTACCCTCTGTAAGACTTCCCGGACCTGGAGTCGTAGAAGAGGTCCTCTTCGTTGTTCAGTATTCTTTCGCGCTGGTCGTGTATGGGACCTTTCGAAAAGGACCCGCCCTCCGTCCAGGCGCCGATTATCTCGCTGGTCCTGCCTTTGCTGTCCTCCTTCAACTTTGGCATTCGATGCACCTCAAATCCGATGTGCGCATTCTTCCAGCCAAAGTTCTGGAGCAGCCACGGGCTGGCATCTTCGTACTTGGTGTCGTCCGTGCTCACGGTGAGGTCGTAAGAATGAGGATAGGGGTCGTCCTTCGCCACGCAGGGCCTCCTGAACACGCTCTTGGGGTCCAACGGCTTGTCCGCGCTGTTGAGCTTGTACTTGCCCGAGATCATGCTCATGAGGCCCCCCTTCAGCTCGAAGTCTGCGTCCCAGAAGACCTCGTGAGTCCTGGTGTCTTCGAGGTGCACGTGGATGTTCCTGAGCTTGCCGTTGAATGTGATGGATGGGTGCGGGTAAGGAAGCTTACCCTCCTCGCCAACGCCAGCCTGGTCGGGCTTGTCGCAAGCGTACCGCCATCCGAGTTTCTTGGGTGAGAGCTGCTGCCCGATGTCTGTGGCGTAAATCTGGGGGGTCTGGTACATCAGCCTGATCCGCGGCTTCGGCTCAAGCTCCGGGCCCATGCGGAGCGAGGCCTCTCCCTTCGCCAGCGCCTCCCAGTAGCCCTGCTCGCTGTACGGCGGCCCGTCGGCGCCGCCGCTGGGCGGTGCCTGGAAGTCTCCCGTGGCCTTCCTCTTGCCGAAGAGGAAGGCGGTGCTCGTGCTGTCGCCGCGGCGACGACGCCAGCGTGCGCCTTCACTGCCCAGCAGCAGAAACGAAGATGCCGATGAGCTGCTTGAAGAACGCTTCCCCAGACCTGGATGCTCGAGAAAGTCCTGGGCGCAGCTCGGGTCCAGGAAGGCGCGCCTGCCCAGCCCACCGGCACGCCCTGAATGGGCCCCGTGGTTCCAACTCACGGAGCCGTCCGCCTCCAGCAGGCAGCGCGGCATTGCGCTGGTTGCGCAGCCTGGGAGATACGCATGCTTTGGGCGCCCTGTGCCACAGTTTCTCCTGGCCCTTGAGCCACAATGGCTACGGCACGCCCTGTCGTTTTCCTGGGTCATGGTCCTGCCATGTTCTGGCACACGCACGGGGCGGGATATTGAGGAGATAGGCGGCTGTTGGAGCCTGTCGGCAAGCTGATGCATCAGCAGTGAAATTACTGTATTCCTTTGCCTTGTCATGCCAGCTGCCCCTTCTTCAAGACACGTCTGCCATGGCGCCTGTTATTCCTGGACGGTCGTTGCCGCGCCTGGTCCTTCTCGGCCTGGCTCGCGGCGTGACGTCTGCGACGTGTGCTCCGTCGTGCTCTGAGTAGATCACTACATGCTGTCTTATATAGGAAGGCACCAACTATACACCAACACCGATCCTGGCCAGGATCGGTGTTGGTGTATAGTTGGTGCCCTCCGATTATGGCAACAAATGACGGCATAAACATAAACGTGTTCCGGATCCGCGCGGACATCGTGGATCTGCGCTGGAGCCCTCTCCCAGGCGCGCGGAGAGCGCGCCAAGGGGGCGGCGCCCGACGATTAGGTGTGTGCCGTGACGTCGTCTTCGATGTCTGTGGTTTTCCGATCTCACCCGTCGTGGCGCCCTCCATTTCAAAGTGGTCGTTTTTGCACCTGGCCCCACGTGCGAGGCAGACGTGGGAACGAGGAGAAAACGAAGCTGGAAACTGCAAACAACGTTCCCTTGGATTGGCGTCGGAAACGAACAACACACGCATCGCCACGGAGACCTGGAAACGACTTAAAAACAGCCATGAAATATTGAAAATCGATGTTTCGAAGAAAAGCTGGGAGCTAGAACGAAACGCCCGGGGCGTTTCCAAGGCACACTAAGCCAATCTTGTCCGCCGTGGCAACGCCACTTCAACCTGGTCGTTTTTGCCCCGGGCCCCTCCTCGGGTCAGCGCGGCCGCGGGGGCCCCAGACTGCCACACAGCCGCGCGCCCTGCGGCGCCCTGCCCAGCTCCCCGACGTCATGATCTTTGCACGACGTCGACCGCCTAAGACGAAGCCAGGACGAAGGCGGAATCTGACGAGGGTGAAACGAGAATCTCTGAGATCCAGCGGGCCTGGAGGGTGTCTCGGGCGCCGCGGCCTGCTCAGAGCGTTCCGGAAAGCTCTCAGAGTGTTCCAGAACGCCCCGGGACGGATTGGTCATCTTCGCAGCCCCGCCCGAAGCTCCCCGACATGATGATTTGTTCATGACGTCGGCCCCCAAAGGTCTCGACCCATCCCCCAGGGCCGGTTTTCCATCCCGAGTCGTTGTTTGACGGTCCAGAAGCACGGTGAGGGCCCCCCAGGAGGCCGAGCATGGCAATAAGCCGCCCGTCCTTGCTTTATCATGACGCGAGGGGGTCTGGGTCTAGCACACCGAAGATCTCCTTTCGCCCTCGCTGCACTTCGCTGTGCACCAACCTCAAGCGCTGGGCGCGCGGGCCACTTGCCCCCTGGCCTGCCTGGTTGCCCTCTGTCTGTCTTGTCTGTCAGTCTGTTTCTGTCTGCCTGTTTCTGTCTGTCTGTCTGTGTCTGTCTGTTTCTGTCTGTGTGTCTGTTTCTGTCTGTCTGTCTGGCTGTCTCTCTCTCTCTCTCTCTCTCTTTCTCTCCCTCTTTCTCCCTCTCACAAAACAAAGCAAAAATATCGTTGGCATGGACCTGCCCATGGGTGCGCGCTCCCCCGGCCCCGCCAGCCTCGAGCACGTGGCGGCGAGCCTGCGAGTGCAACTGCCGCGTGAGCCACGTGTGGGCCAGGCGCACCTGCCAGGGAGGCTCCGAGGAGGAAGAGGGAGGGAGGGGGGAGGAAGGGTACCAATTCCCAACCGACTGGTACGAATTCCAACCAACCGGGCCACGTCTCAACCGGCAATAAAAAAACAAGTGCTGCCAACTACAACCAACCACCTTGTATGTGTAGGGGGTGATGGAACGGTTCAGAAATCACATGCACGTCTTACGAGTAAGCGTTCACTCTGGTAGGCAACATGAGCGGCAAGGTTGGAAATTGTACTCGCTTGCTGTCTGACACCTGGGAGTTGTGTTGTCCTGAAACTGAGCAGAGGTCGTCAATATTACTGAAACGTTACGGCTGGCGTATGGGAGCTGGATAATTTCCGCACGACAGGTGCGTAAAGTTTCGCGTTGCTGGGTATTCATGTGAGAGCTCTGGGGTTCCATCAGCGAACACAAAATACTCAGAATCGACGGAGTGGATATCTATTCGGAAATCAGACGACTCCTCGTGATAAGCTCATGGAGCACATACGAAAATTTCAGCTGTCAAGTGGAACCAAAAAGCAGGCTTCATGTGCACAAGGTGCACAAACGAGCTGTTACATGGAATGTGTTCAAATTTCCCCACGTGGGAATTCGGCAGCTTGTTTATAATATGTTGTGCGGATGTCTTGTGCATTGGGCTGTAATAGGTTAAATCGTACCTTCAACTTATTTGACACTCGATGTGCTTGCCAATCATAATTCATTCGGACATGAGCCAATCCCAAACTTACGCACACGCACACACACACACATATATATATATATATATAGATATGTAGATGTGTGTGTTCTATGTGTTCCCCCAATGGAATTCAAAAGACTATGCACCGATCCCTCCCTCCACCAGACCTGCTTACTGTTCTATGTGGTTCCCAATTTGGGAACGTCCTCCTCCTCTTCCTTTTTCCTCCCTCACACTCTTCTTCAGTATTACTCTTACGATTACTTGTTTTTCTCCAATGTGTTCCCGGAAGGGTTTCCTCAACGGCTCCGGGAACATATTATTAGTCCGATAGCTTGGCCGCGCCGTGGCCACAACGTTCGGCCACACAGGTGCTTCCAATGAGGCAGGGGGCGGCGGTGATTCTCTGCAAGCGTCTTCGATCCGCCGCCCCCTGTTGATTTATCACAGGGGTGCCTGGCGTGATGAACTTGAAAACAAATCCTGGCGAATGACCCAACCATGTCCAGCTGTGTGTAACGCAGTTGTGGGTATCGTCCTCGGTGAACCTCTCTCTGGTGCCACGACGCGTGTGACGGATGTGCCAACATGAACACGGGTACGCCATGCGGACGTTGCCACCGGAGCCGTCGGTGCAGCCCCATCTGAGGCCACGAAACATGAGAGGGGTTCGCCGAAATGCAAGGTGGAACCGCGTGCGGGCGCTGCCACTAGGGCCTTTGGCGGTCACGAAAACGTGGAAGGGGTGCGCCGACATGAAGGGTATAACTGCATGCGGAACCTGCCACTGGGCCCTTGGGTAGAACACCCTATGGGGCCACGAAACGTGTGAGGGGTGCGCCGAAATGGAGAATGGAGGTGGAACTGCATGCGGACCCTGCCACGGGGGCCTTCGGTGGAGCACCTTATGGGGCCGCCTGCAATGCCACCGCGCAGCGCCAGGCCACTGCAGAGGGGAGCGGCGGGGGGGGGGAGCGGCGTGGCTGCGCGAAAAAATTGTATACACTTCTCGATTTGTGCGTGTCATCCTTGCGCAGGGGCCATGCTAATCTTCTCTGTGTAGTTCCAACTTTAACGGATGATCCCCGAAGGGAATCCGAAACGCACGCGCCAGGGGGGGGGGGGCTGGCATCCTCGCCGTGCAGGTCCTGTCGCATTCAAGCGCCTCAGCCTCGGCTGATTTTTTGTTGTTGTTGTTGTTGTTGTTGTTGTTGTTGTTATCTCTCTCTCTCTCTCTCTCTTTCCCCCTCTTTCTCTCTCTCTCTCTGGCTCGCTGGCTCGCTAGCCGTCGCTGCGACGCGCGTCACTTGCGCCGAGGCAGGGTTGGTCTGAGACTTCTCACGACGCAGGGCGAATGTTGGGGATTACCCCCTCAAAAATTACCCTGGCGACGTACCCAACCCTTGCGCAATGCGGGGCATAAGTACATCAGAATTGCCACAACGGGGGCGATGACGTAACATGGACGCATGTGATTTTGCGAGCAACAATCGGAAGGCTCGCAGGCCCCCGATCAAGATCTAAGGGCTACGTAATAACAAATCACCCCCGTTGGCTGTGCCATGCGCCCGTTGCACCCAACGTATCCCACAGCAACTCTTGAGAGCCCCGCGGGATACGTGTAGGCGCAACGTTATGGCCATCGCCCGGAAGATGGTCTGTTTCACACATCACCACCGTTGGCTGTGCCATGCGCACAGAGCGCCTAACGTATCCCACGGCAGCTCTCCAGAGCCCCCCCAAGGACGGCGAGGTCCCGCTCAGATCTGCGCGGTGTCTCACTCCGCTGGACCCACCAGCAGCCCTCGAAAGTGGCGACAGTTTCGCAGATCGCAGCCCCCCAGGGCCGGCGAGGTCTCGCTCAGATCTGCGCGGTGCCTCACCCCGCTGGACCCACCAGCAGCCCTCGAAAGTGGCGACAATTTCGCAGATCGCAGCCCCCCAAGGACGGCGAGGTCCCGCTCAGATCTGCGCGGTGCCTCACTCCGCAGGACCCACCAGCAGCCCTCGAAAGTGGCGACAATGTCGCATATCGCAGCCCCCCAGGGCCGGCGAGGTCCCGCTCAGATCTGCGCGGTGTCTCACTCCGCAGGACCCACCAGCAGCCCTCGAAAGTGGCGACAATGTCGCAGATCGCAGCCCCCCAGGGACGGCGAGGTCCCGCTCAGATCCCCGCGGTGCCTCACTCCGCAGGACCCACCAGCAGCCCTCGAAAGTGGCGACAATGTCGCAGATCGCAGCCCCCCAGGGACGGCGAGGTCTCGCTCAGATCTGCGCGGTGCCTCACTCCGCAGGACCCACCAACAGCCCTCGAAAGTGGCGACAATTTCACAGATCGCAGACCCCCAGGGCCGGCGAGGTCTCGCTCAGATCTGCGCGGTGCCTCACCCCGCTGGACCCACCAGCAGCCCTCGAAAGTGGCGACAATTTCGCAGATCGCAGCCGCCCAAAAGACGGCGAGGTCCCGCTCAGATCTGCGCGGTGCCTCACTCCGCTGGACCCACCAGCAGCCCTCGAAAGTGGCGACAATGACGCAGATCGCAGCCCCCCAGGGACGGCGAGGTCTCGCTCAGATCTGCGCGGTGCCTCACTCCGCTGGACCCACCAGCAGCCCTCGAAAGTGGCGACAATTTCGCAGATCGCAGCCCCCCAGGGCTGGCGAGGTCTCGCTCAGATCTGCGCGGTGCCTCACTTCGCTGGACCAACCAGCAGCCCTCAGTGGCGACAGTTTCGCAGATCGCAGCCCCCCAGGGCCGGCGAGGTCTCGCTCAGATCTGCGCGGTGCCTCACTCCGCTGGACCCACCAGCAGCCCTCGAAAGTGGCGACAGTTTCACAGATCGCAGACCCCCGGGCCGGCGAGGTCTCGCTCAGATCTGCGCGGTGCCTCTTTCCGCAGGACCCACCAGCAGCCCTGGAAAGTGGGACAATTTCGCAGATCGCAGCCCCCCAGGGCCGGCGAGGTCTCGCTCAGATCTGCGCGGTGCCTCACTCCGCTGGACCCACCAGCAGCCCTCGAAAGTTGCGACAGTGTCGCAGATCGCAGCCCCCCAGGGACGGCGAGGTCTCGCTCAGATCTGCGCGGTGCCTCACTCCGCTGGACCCACCAGCAGCCCTCGAAAGTGGCGATCGGCGCACCGCCAACTACATGCCTGAGCCTGCTCTGGCACAACCCGAAGTGCCTTGGACGCGAATCCCACCAGCCCTCTGGGCGTCGGTGGTTTAGGGAGTTTCCTCTTCCACCCGTCATTTTTCCCCTCCGGGGAGGGGTTTACCCCTCCCCCTACCCCCTCCCCTGGACCTGGACGGGGGGGGGGTGCGAGGTGTCAGGGCGTCCAAAACGGCCTCGGCGAGGAAGCCCAAATCATTGGTTTTACTAGATTTTGGCCCCATTTTGGCCTCCTGGGGGGGGGGCTGTAATTAGTACTCCCCCCTCCTGTGATCGATCTCACCCGAGATGGCCCAAAGAAGCGCCCGGGAGGCCCCAAGAGGTCCTAAGATGGCCCCAAGATGGCCCCAAGAGGCCCCCAAGAGGCCCCCAGGAGGCCCCCAAGAGACCCCCAAGAGGCCCCAAGCGACCTCCCAGAGGCACCCAAGATGCTCCAAGAGGCCTCGGTGAGAATGCCAAATCATTGAATTTACAAAGGTTTTCGCCACATGTTGGCCTCTTGGGGGGGGCGCTGATTAAGATGACTCCAAGAGCGCCTGGGAGAGCCCAAAATGAACTCCAAGACGGCTCAAGAGATCCCAAGATGTCTCATACTGGCTTCCTCTGTGTGCTGCCAGCTTCCCTGGTCGAAGCAATCCCTCTGGGCATCGTTTCTGGATGGGCTGGTGGGGATTCTTTTTTGGTCGCAGCCTCGGGCGAAAGCGCACACGGCGTGTCGTAAGACCGGGGCGCGGGCCTACTAATTACAACAGCAAACTAGAGCCGACACCTAAACAGCCTAGGCAGACTCAGCGGCGCATCACGTGAGCTGGTGGGGATTCGCGAAGCGTCAACAATTCATTGGGAGGGATGCAGGGGGGGAGGGAAAAGGGTGCCCGTTTCGGGCCTTGTACGCCCCCTCTGGGGCCCTGAAGGGCCCGTTTCTGCAGCCCTCACGGCCCCCCATGTATTGCACCCCCTCCTCCTCCTCCTCCTCCTCCTCCTCCTCCTCCTCCTCCTCCTCCTCCTCCTCCTCCACCTGCTCCTGCTCCTCCTCCTGTCCTCCTCCTCCTCCTGCTCTCCTTTTTTCTCCTCCTCCTCCTACTCCTCCTACCTCCTCCTGCTCCTCCTCCTCCTGCTCCTTCCTGCGCTCCTCCTCCTGCTCTCCTGCTCCTCCTCCTCTGGCTCCTGCTCCTGCCTCCTCCTCCCCTCCTCCTCCTGCTCCTCTCCTCCTCCTCCTCCTCCTCCTTCCTCCTTTCCTCTACTACTTACCCTCCTCCTCCATCCTCCTCCTCCTGCTCCTCCTCCTGCTCCTCCTCTGCTCCTCCTCTCCTGCTCCTCCTGCTGCTCCTCCTGCTCCTCCTCCTCCTGCTCCTCCTCCCTCCTGCTCCTCCTCCTCCTCCTCCTTCCTCCTGCTCCTCCTCCTCCTGCTCCTCCTCCGCTACTTCCTCCTACTAATCCTCCTGCTCCTGCTCCTCCTGCTCTTCAGATCCTCCTGCTCCTCCTCCTCCTATCCTCCTCCTGCTGCTCCTCCTCCTCCTCTGCTTCCTCCTCCTCCTCTCCTCCTCCTTTACTCTGCTCTCCTCCTGCTCCTCATCCTCTGCTCTCCTGCTCCTCTCCTCTCCTCCTCCTCTCTCATGCTCCTCCCTCTCTCCTCCTCCTGGCTCCTCCTCTCTCCTTCCTCCTCCTCTCCTCCTGCTCCTCTCCTCCTGCCTCACTCCTCCTCCTGCCTCCTCCTCCTCCTCCTCCTGCTCCTCCTCTCATACTCCTCCTCCTCTGAACCTCCTACTCCTCCTCCTCCTCCTCCTCCTCCTCTCCTCCTCCTCATCTCCTCTCCTCCTCCTCCTGCTCCTCCTCCTCCTGCTCCCTCCTCCTTGCTCCTTCTGCTTCCTCTCCTCCTCCCTCCTCATGCCCTGATCCTGCGGAGTCAGTTACCACACACACACACACACACACACACACACACACACACACACACACACACACACACACACACACACACACACACACACACACACACACACACACACACACACACACACACACACACACACAAATTCGCGCCCGAGCTTCACGCTCTGGGGCGTCTCCGGCCGGCCGCGGCCCTCTCCTCCTGCTCCTCCCGCCGCCCCCCTGCCCTTTTTGCGCCCCATCAGCGCACAGCAGCAGCCTTGTGCGAATGCCTGACCGCAGCTCGTACCCGAGACGCCGCCGAAATCAAAGTTGCTCCTCGGCGCGCCTCAAAGGTCCGTCCATTGAACCAGAGGATCGACGTAAACAGTGTGCTTCGTTCTCGTTTGTTTTCGTTTCCCCTCGTGCTGTCTTCAATCGCCAAACGAGAGCGAAACGCAAACGGCCCCGCGAAATCGCCAAAACACCGCTCTGGTCGACCACTGTAGCTATAAAACTTAGCCCCTGCCTCGAAGAAACCCGGACTGAAGGCGCGGTGGCCGAAGGCGGGCCACGAGGCCAAGACCACACGCTGGGTGGAAGACAGCTCCGGCCGTCGGCGAGGCTTCCCTCCCAGCTCGGCCGAGACCGCGGATGGCATCAGGCTCCCGTCTGCGGCGCCGCTGCTCGCCGACCCCCTCTGGCTGAATTCCGCCTACTCCTCAACCTCCTCCGGCCCCTCTGTCCGCACGGCTCTGCGATGCCCCCCGCTGTTGCCCGGAGAGAACCGCCGTAGCCCAGGCAGGAGCAGCAGGCGGTGCAGTCGGCAGTCTCGTGCTGTTCGGCCGTGTGGACAACGCACGGTACCGCATCGGATAAGAACGAGCACGCGCTGCTTCACTGGAGAGCAGCGACCTCCACCAATCGCAGCGGCGATCCTTCGCGGCGTGGCGTATGTATAGCACCTGGCCCTTTGCCAAAAGGAGGACCCTCAGCAAACTGTCGCAGGTGTGTTGCGTTCAAATGCTGTGGCAAATGCATCTGGCCCTTTGCCAAAAGGAGGACCCTCAGCAAACTGTCGCAGATGTGTTGCGTTCAAATGTTGTGGCAAATGCATTGTGGCAAATGTAGTGTGGCAGATTCTTCCTTCTATTGTGGTAGATGTATGGTGGCAACGCGTCAGACTGCGAGTAGTGCGACGCTGCGCCGGCATCTGGGTGTCTGGACCAGAATGATGACAAGTTGGCCCATGAATTCAAAGTAAGGAAGACAGGGAGAGGACGGGGGCGAAAGATGCGTCTACTTTGCTGTCAAGGACGCAGCGCCAGAAAGAGAGAAGGTACCTTCAAAAATACCATGTGCTGCCGCGGCGGCCCAGATGCATTAACACATCTAAGACTGGCGCGTGCCACATGCGGGCCTCAGTCCTGCCACGCAACCCTTCCCAGACGACCCGCCCCCCCCCCTTCCCCTCCGAGTCACTATCCTGACAGTTCTCCCGCGAAGAGAAGCTCTGCAGACATGCTGCCAGGGCTCCTTGCAAGATCCTGGGGCCGACGAAATAGATGTAGCGCTTGCGGTGTTGGGCCGATCGCTTGGGAGGTTGAGGGTCGGCCCTCGGAGATTGAGAGGCGCGCCCCATGCTCGACGTCCGTCTCGCCTCATCCAGCCTGCGACCTCACACCGCTGGTGGAGCGCCCTCCGCTGAGCAGGGGCCGACCGCCCTGGCATTCTTATAGGCCTATCACGAAGTTGTCTTAGAATTTGCAGATCGAATATAAAACCTTTGTCCTTAGACCATACGCAGCCGATGTATTAAAGCAAGACGGTCTCAACCAGAACTGATATACGTAAGGCCAGTTCGTGTATACCACAACTTGCCATCGCTCGGACGTCCATTCCCAGTGTATTTGTCGGTGTCGTGCGCGTTTTTGCTTTCGCAAGGTTTCCCACATGCTCCTGGATGGTCCAAATGTTCTGGCCCTGGCCTTGCCAAGAAAAATGCACACGTCCGAGCGATGCCAAGACGCAGGTTCTTCGAGCACTCTTTGGTGGGCCTATCGGCAAGCCAGGCCGCCTCGCCACTGCTGACCTCCCGGCCTCTCACCCCAGGCCGCCGAAGTGGCTGCAGCCCGACCTCAGGCTGTGCGCGAGCGAGGCGCGCCCCACCCTCGCGGACCGCCTCGCCTCATCCAGCCTGCGAGCTCACACCCCGCCGGGGGCGCCTCCTCTGGGCCTCTCACCCCGGGTCGCCCGCCGCACGAGAAGGCCGTAGCCCGCGCCCGGGTCGTGTGCGCGAGCCAGGCGCCCGGCTCTGGCAGGGCGGGGCCGGCCGTGCCGCCCAACGCCCCCGCGGGCCGCCAGGCCAGCCGCTCGTGGCCCAGCCACGGGCCCTGCTGGGGCGCCTGCGCGCGAGCAGGCGGCCGGGTGTCCCGGGGAGCCTCCGCGAGCTCGCCGTCGGCCATCGCAGGGCGGCGGCTCGGGCCCTGCCGCGCTGGGCAGCCCCAGCCAGGCGTCGCCAGGCGGGGGCGCGGCACCTGCCACGGCGGGGGCACCTGGGCCGGAGGAAGACACAACGGCGTGAGCACAAACTTTCGAGGGTTCGCACGGTGGTCTTGGATCTGCGGGGGGCCCCCCCTCCCCGGCGCGCCAGAGCGGCGCCGGAGGCGCCGCCAGGGGGGGGCCAGCGCAGACCCAGGAGATCCGCGCGGACCGTCGACAGCTTCTGTCCATGCGGTTTTCTCTTCTCTCCGATGGGCGCAGGGGGCGGGGCCCGCGGGGCAGGACCCCTGCGGCTGCGGCCAGGAGCTGCGGAGGACTGCGGCCGCGGGGCGCGGGGCAATGACCGCGCCGCCCGGCGGGCTCTGGGCGCCGCCTGCCGCCGGACTCGAGCTCGCGGAGACGCTCGAGGCCCGGCTCGCCTGCCAGCTCCGCGCCGCTCCATCCCGCTGCCCTCGCACGTGGCCGCCAGGGCCTGGGCCGCTGCTCGACGTGGCCGCGTGGGGCGCCCCCGCCAGCACGATGCGCTGCGGCGCTGGCCAGGCCGGGCCGTCGAGGGGCCTCCCGAGGCCCCGAGGCCGCCGCGGGAGCATCCGGTGGGCTGGCGACTCCCGCGGCGGAGGCGTGCCGTCCTCCACCCGGGGCCGCGCCGCCGCGGCGCCCGCTGCGCGCGCCCACTCCGAAGGCCTGGCCGCCCCCTCTGCCGCGGAGGCGCCAGGGCCCGCGCCCACGGAGCGGCTCCGCGAGAGCGTCGACAGGGTGACCTGGTCGGGCTGGAACCCCTCATCGAGCATGCGCCGCAGCCACAGCTTTATGTCCGCCTGCGTGCCGCCCGTGAGGCTCGCGTGGATCATGGTATTGAACGTGATCTCGTAAGGCGCCACTCCGCGCAGCCACATCTGCGACGTCCACTCGACGGCGCGCCTGTAGTCTCCTCTGCGGGCAAAAGCATGCAGCAGCGCGTTGAAACACTCGACGTTTGGGCACATACGTGAGAGAGCATCCGCCGCATCCAATGCTCTGCCCTCTGCGCGTTGCCTGTCCCGACGGCGACGTAGATCATGGAGCTGAAGGTGACCACGTCTGCAGTGCAGCCTGCGATGTTCATGCGGGCGAACCAAGATTCTGCGACCGACAAGTCGCCAGAGGTAATGCAAGCCTGGATGACGCCGTGATACGCCTTCCGCGTAGGCACGATATTCCGAGACAGCATCGTGTTGACGAGTTGCTCGGCCTTCTGCTGCATGCCCGCCTTCGCACATGCGTTTATGAGGGAGTTGAACACTATCTCGTCCGCGTCGAATCCCGCCTCGCTCATCCTCTCGGACCACGCTTCGGCCCGCTGGACGTTGCCGAGCTTCGCGTGGGCGCCGACGAGGGTAGCGTAGCTGATACGGCTGGGCCTCTCTCCACGAGAGAGCATCTCGCAGAACCACCACTCCGCGCGCTCCGCATCGTGAGCCTGGGCGCAGGCGTTCAGCATCAGGTTGAAGGAGACGACGTTCGGGAGCAGGCCGGCGTTCTGCATGACCCGCCAATAGTGCTCCGCGGTGCTGACGTCGCCCAATTTCGCGAACGCGTTGAGCACCGCGTTGATCATGGCCGTGTCCAACACGTGGCCGTTCCGCTGGAGGTGGCCCAGGCACCACGCCGCCGCCCCGGGGCAGCGCATGTTGGCGCTCGCGCGCAGCACCAGCAGGTGGAACGCCCTCGCGGCCGTGGGGCTGCAGCCCTGCACCGCCTCGCTCGAGAGCTGCTCCGCGGCCGCGGTCCTCCGGGCGGCCACGCTCGTCACGACGAGCTTCGCCACGGCCTGCGTGCGGGCGCCGCCCTCGACCCGCCGCTGCGCGGCGCCTGGCGGGCCGCCGCCCCCGCCGGCCCCGGCCGCGCGGGCCCTGCCGCGGCCTCGGGCGGCGGCCTCCCCGCGGGGCAGCTGAACGTCCGGCCCGCCGTGCCCGGCGGCCGGCGCCCGGCTGGTCGACCGAGGGCGGCGCGCCACGGCAGCGGGCACGCCGAGGCCACCGGGCCGCCGGGGAGCGAGGGCGGCGCGGAGGTCGTCGGGCCCAAAGCCTCCGCCAGCTCCGCCGGGTGGCCCGCCGAGCCCAACGTCTGGCGCCCGGCCCAGAGGCCGAGGGCGGCGCGCCATTGCGCAGGCGGCACGCCGAGGCCGGAAGGCCGCCGGGGAGCGCAGGTGGAGCGCGGGGGGGCAGAGCGCTCCCGATGCGAGTCCAGAGGCCTTCAGCCACCAGGGCCACGGCAAGTTTCGCATCCCTCGCAGACGTGCCTGGCTCGCCCCTGGTGCCAGGAGGAAGCAAGCCTGGCAAAGCTGGGAGTGCGAGTCGTCGTGCTGCGGTGAGGCCCTGGCCTCTTCCGCCTCCCCATACATACGACGCGCTGATCTGTTCAACACCCGAGCCCCCAAAGCTCCGAACCTGCTCCCCGAGGCCGACACTTCCTTCCTGCGCTGCGGCCAGTGTGCTCAGCGAGAGCCGCCGACGGAGGCCGCCAAAACCTCTGGGGTGTCTCCCTGCGGGGTAAAGACGTCGGGAGGCTCCGGCTCCTCCGAGGCGCAGGGCGAGACTGCTCCACGCCGCCGGCTCGCGGGACCCGAGCGGCCGGCCGCACAGCCTCTCGATCCATGCGCGCCGCGCTCGGAGCAGCCAGACTGGCCTGGCGGGCTGCGCTCTGGCTCCACGGCGGTTGCGGCGTTCTGGAAGCCTTGGGGCCCTTCTCCCTCCTCCCTCCTTCCCCCCTCGGCTGCCATACCGTTCCTCCCAGGGTGCGCCCTGACCGGCATCTCGAGGCGAAGCTAGCCGTCGCGACGATGGAACGGACAGCGGCACCGGTACACGCACTCCTCTTCTGAATCATGCCCTCCCCCGCCCCCTCCCCACACCCCCCCCACGCCCGCGCGCGCGCGCCTGCATGATCGCCAAGACCATCGCCACCCTGCCGAGGCGCGCCCGAACACGCGCCCGCGCCGTCGGCCGGCCGGCTGGCCGGGCGCGCGCCGCGGGGAGCAGGGATCGAGGGGGTGGAGGATCGGTGAGCAAGGGGGCCTCGCCATCGCTCGGACGTCCATTCCTCGTGCAATTTTCGGCTTCGCGCGTGCAGTTTTCCAAAAAAAGATGGAACAAAATGTTTCTCCATGGTTCTTGCCGAGGAAAAACGCACGCGTCCGAGCGATGCCAAGGAGCAGGGTGAGGGAGGCCCATGCGGGAAAAGAATCGGGGAGCGGCGGGCCGTGGGCAGTTATGCAGAGGCAGCATGGGCCGTGGCCTGGAGCCTCTGGGGCGTGAGCACCGCTGGCGTCCTGAGGCGGCTTGCGCGCGCAGGGGTGGGCGAGACGCGGCGCCCCCCCTTCGCACGATCATCCGAGATGCCCCTCGATGGTCCTCGTCGAGGAGTAGACCCGCACGTCCGAGCGATGCCGCGAGATCCAGAAGCGAGAATGCGGAGATCGCGTCGAGCACGTGGAACAAAAAGACGTCGCCGGCCGTGTGCGCATTCCGCGCGCGATCACTGCCGTTCTGGCCCACGCAGGCACGGGCGGGGGGGGGGGGCGGGCCACAGACGACAACACCCGCAGCACCTCCCCTCCGCGGCCGCCTGCCTGCCTCAGAGGCCTCACGACGACGCCGTGCATGCAGCAGCGTGCACGCCCGCGTCGAATCCGGGGAACGGCTCGCTGGGCGCGAGGTGGAGGAGAGGGCACAAGAGGAGCAGGAGGAGGACAGCACAAAACTCGTGCCATCGTTTGTTCGCTGATGCCAGCTGCTGTTGTTTCGTTGATTTCGGCCTCCAAAGGCCCCGGTCGAGCCCCAGGAGCATCAGAAATAGATGCAGGGTGAAACATCTGATCAGGGTGGCCTTTGGGAAGAGGGATCGATGAGGGGGAGGAGCGGCAGGTCCTGATGAGGTAGAAAGAGGACTGAGAGTGTTGTCCTGCGCAGGCTTTTCCGGCAGGCAGGAGAATCGGGGAGACGGGAACATCGATCAAGGGAGGAGCAGGATCGAGGAGGACCGATGAAGAGGGAGGAGGAGGCAGGAGAATAGAGGAGGGATGACAGACCACAAGGATTGAGCATCGAGATTCGAATGTCTGAGGCTGAAATCATTCGGCTCACTTTGGAGCCCCCAGAATCTTCCGGAGCCCTCCGGAAAGCGGATACGCCTGGTCGCCTGGTGGCCTCCGGGGACCTTCAGGAACCCTCGCTCGAGGATTATCCGCTGGCCCCCTTGTGGGGTCATCAGGCTGCGAGGGTCAGGCTTGCTGCTCCCTGCGCCAGTTCCAGCTTCCAGTCTCCACTGCTACAGTCCTGGTTTCTGCTTCCTATTGTAAATTGTTGAAGTCCGCGGGGGGGGGCGGCCGAAAAGAACCCGGTTGCCGTCCCCGAATCGCGTTGTCTGAACTCCTGCGGGGCCGTGGGACACGTAAAAATACATGAGATTCGCGCTCCCGACGCAATAATCCTCCGCAAATTACTCTGTATTCGCACCCCCGAGGCCACGATCCCGAGTAAATTGCACCACATTCGCGTCCCCGAAGCCACGATCCCTGATCAAATACACCATGTTCGCGCCCCCGAGGCAACGATCTCCTGCAAATTATGCTACATTCGCGCCTCTGGGGCCACGATCCCTTTAAAATATACCATATTCCCGCCGCCGAGGCCACGATCTCCTGCAAATTACACTACAGTCGCGCCTCTGGGGCCGCAATCCCTAATCAATTGCGCCACGCTTGCGCCTCCGAGGCCACGGTCCCTTGTAAATTACGCCGCGTTCGCAGTCCCGAGGCCACAGTCCATTCAAAATTACGCCACCTTCGCCTCCCGAGGCCACGGTCCCTAGCAAATTACGCCACTTTCGCGCCCCCGAGGCCACGATCCATCGTAAACTTCGATGCGTTCGTGCCCCCGAGGCCACGATCCTTCGCAAATTGCCGAATATGTATATATATATATATATATATATATATATATATACTAGAACCACGCGCGCGCTTCGCGCGCGCTTAGGTTCTGTCGAGTCACAGACCCAGGAATCGTTGTGAGAAGAAATTGGTGACGCGAAGCGTCGTGGGGGCGTCCTTGGACGTCTGGGGTCTCCTGGGGCCTCTTGAGGGGCCTCCTGGGGGCCTCCTGGCGGCCTCTTGGGGCGGAAGGCTCGAGCTTGCGGTTCGTGGTCCCCCTCTGGGCCCCCTCTTGGGCCCGTCTTGGGGCCCTCTTGGGCCATCTTGGGCGCCTCTTGGGCCGTCTTGGGGCCCTCTTGGGCTGTCCTGGGGCCCTCTTGGAAGCTTCTTGGGCCGTCTTGGGGCGGTCTTGGGCGCCTCTTGGGCCGTCCTGTAACGTCGGAAAGCCCAAAAGACAACTTTGTTGAACATGTACGTTTTACGAAGGGAATGGGCCAAATTTTTGCGTCTAGGGGCCCTCTTGGGACGCATGTTGGAGGCTTCTTGGGGCCTCTTGGGGGCGTCCTTGGACGTCTGGGGTCTCCTGGGGCCTCTTGAGGGGCCTCCTGGGGGCCTCCTGGCGGCCTCTTGGGGCGGAAGGCTCGAGCTTGCGGTTCGTGGTCCCCCTCTGGGCCCCCTCTTGGGCCCGTCTTGGGGCCCTCTTGGGCCATCTTGGGCGCCTCTTGGGCCGTCTTGGGGCCCTCTTGGGCTGTCCTGGGGCCCTCTTGGAAGCTTCTTGGGCCGTCTTGGGGCGGTCTTGGGCGCCTCTTGGGCCGTCCTGTAACGTCGGAAAGCCCAAAAGACAACTTTGTTGAACATGTACGTTTTACGAAGGGAATGGGCCAATTTTTTGCGTCTAGGGGCCCTCTTGGGACGCATGTTGGAGGCTTCTTGGGGCCTCTTGGGGGCGTCCTTGGACGTCTGGGGTCTCCTGGGGCCTCTTGAGGGGCCTCCTGGGGGCCTCCTGGCGGCCTCTTGGGGCGGAAGGCTCGAGCTTGCGGTTCGTGGTCCCCCTCTGGGCCCCCTCTTGGGCCCGTCTTGGGGCCCTCTTGGGCCATCTTGGGCGCCTCTTGGGCCGTCTTGGGGCCCTCTTGGGCTGTCCTGGGGCCCTCTTGGAAGCTTCTTGGGCCGTCTTGGGGCGGTCTTGGGCGCCTCTTGGGCCGTCCTGTAACGTCGGAAAGCCCAAAAGGCGACTTTGTTGAAAATGTACGTTTTACGAAGGGAATGGGCAATTTTTGCGTCTAGGGGCCCTCTTGGGACGCATGTTGGAGGCTTCTTGGGGCCTCTTGGGGGCGTCCTTGGACGTCTGGGGTCTCCTGGGGCCTCTTGAGGGGCCTCCTGGGGGCCTCCTGGCGGCCTCTTGGGGCGGAAGGCTCGAGCTTGCGGTTCGTGGTCCCCCTCTGGGCCCCCTCTTGGGCCCGTCTTGGGGCCCTCTTGGGCCATCTTGGGCGCCTCTTGGGCCGTTTGGGGCCCTCTTGGGCTGTCCTGGGGCACTCTTGGGAGCTTCTTGGCCCGTCTTGGGGCGGTCTTGGGCGCCTCTTGGGCCGTCCTGTAATGTCGGAAAGCCCAAAAGGCAACTTTGTGAAAAATGTACGTTTTACGAAGGGAATGGGCCAATTTTGCGTCTAGGGGCCCTCTTGGGACGCATGTTGGAGGCTTCTTGGGGCGTCTTGGGGGGCGTCCTTGGACGTCTGGAGGCCATCTTCAGCATCTCGGAGCCCTCTTGGAGGCCTCTTGGAAGTTTCTTGGGCCGTCTTGGGCGTTTCTGGGGCCGTCTTGTCTGACCGGGGAGGCCTCCGGCAAGCCCCGACGAGCCTCCGGGCCCCCCGGGGTGCACATTTGCGGTCGAGGTCCCGGCCCCGGGCCCCCGGACCCGGTGCGCCGTTATATGTATATATATATATATATATATATATATAAACAAATAAATAATCGCGTCCCCGAAGCCAGTAACCCTCGCAAATTACGTGGCTGCTGCGTCCCCGAAGCAACAAACCCTTTGAAACTACCAAGATTCACGCCCCCGAGACAACAAACCCTCATATATTACTTAAGTATTGCGTCCCTGGGGCACTAAACCATAGCAAATTGCTCAATAGTCGCGTTCCGAAGCCAGAATCCCTTTTAAAGTACACAAGATTCGCGTACCCGATGCCACAAGCCCCTGCAAATTGCTCAATCATCGCGTCGCCGAAGCCAGACGTCCTTGTAAATGACACAATATTCGCGTCCCCGAGCCAACAGACCATCACAAATTGCTAAAGTTGTCTTGCGTCCCCGAGGCAACAAATCTATGGTAAAGTATTCAATGTTCACCTCCACGTGGCCATGAACCCTCGCAACGTACACCACATTCGTATTGCCGAGGTCATGAATGCTCCAAGACGCCCGAAGATGGTTCCCAAACGGCCCAAGAGGGCCCCAAGAGGCCCCAACAGCGCTCCAAGAGGCCTCCGGAGAGAGCCCCAAGAGGCCAACATAGTCGATTTTACAACGATTTTTGAAGGAGTTTGGGGTTCTCACATTTTCAGCCTCCCGACGCTCCAAGATGACTCAAGAAGCTCCCCAGACCGCCCCAAGACAGCCCATGACGCCCCCAAGAGGGCCCCAAGACGGCGCGAGAGGGCTCCAAGATGGCCCAACAAGCGCTCTGAGAAGCCCCGAGAAGCCCCCAGGAGGCCCCAAGAGGCCCCAAGAGGCGCCCAAGACGCGCCAAAGAGGCCTCCAAGAGGCCCAAAAGATCCCCCACGAGGCCCCAAGAGGCGCCAAAACCGCCTCCAAGTGGCCCCCGAGAGGCTCCCCACGACACCCCAACACATCTACAAGAGGCCTCCGACCCACAACCCAGACACGGTGGCGGGATGGGCCGAAGGCCACTAGGAGAACGCCAACGTCTCAACATGCGCTGCGCATGATGTTCCCAGATGCGCCACGGCAGCACCGAGACGCACCGACGCGACTCTGATATATCCCATTCTAGTAGAGAGGGGGCCGGCGGCAGTGGGCGAAGCCCTGACGGATAATTCATGGATCCACCAAAGAGCTCTTGCACCCTCTCAGTTCCAAATCAATTCTGAACATGGCACGGACTTCCCACGCAGCGCTCGACATGGAGCGATAAAACAATAGGAAGCTCGGGTGGAGGGCTAGAGCCGAAGCTAAGAAACAGGCCTGGGCGAGGGCTGAGGGCTACAGCCGGACCTAGGCCAGAAGAGCATCCCTCAAGAACATGAGGCCCTCCGCCGGCCAAAAAGAACATCCAGCAAACACGAAGAACACTGGGGCACCCTCCCCGAATCGACCTCGTTCTTATACCTCGGTCCGACTGTATGGCTTGCAGCTGGGGCCAGGGCTGAACCTATGAGTGGAGCTAGGGATGAGGCCCAAGCGTCCAAGAGGTCTTCGACCTCCAACCCAGGCACCGAAGCGGGATGGGCCGAGGGCCACTCGACACCGAAATTGCGAGCGTCCGTGCACACCTGGTCGTTTTTTCCCATGCAAGCTCTGTAGCGTATTGATGCAGCGATGTAGCCCACAAGAACTTTCTGTTGGTATACAGTCGGGGCGTTGACCTAAGGAACCCTAAATGAGGAACGAGGCCCCTCTTTTCCATAAGTTAAACTTCGATTTACCATTGAGAACCTAAGGAAAACCCAAGGCAACCTGTAAAACAATCAAGGAACACCGAGCCCCTCCCCAACGAACAGGGTTCCTTTTTCAGCGCCCCGACTGTAACGCGTTCTAGTTACATCCCCTGCTGACCCTGGTACTTTACGGAGCCAAATGTTTTCTGAAAGCCTAGTGCTGCGTACCGAAGAGACGTGTGATGCTCGTCTGCCTTCTCCTGAATCATAGCCATCGTGAAGAGGTAGTCTGCCGCAGAAACAAATGTCCGTGTACCTGATTGATCACGCCTTGCTGAAGCTCCGAGATCACCAACAAACGATTGTATATTAGCCGTGCGAGAAACTTATCAAAGATAGGATGCATCCGAACAATTGCTCAAACAGCTTCTTGAACGAAGCAACGCGAGTGACGAGTGGCGCAAACAAAACGAATAACGCACTGCAAACTTGGACATGCAACCAATCGTAACGGTATTCGGAACGCGCGCCACACACAAAACACACACACACAAACACACACAAAACATACATCAACCTGCCACGCTCATATACAACATCTTTGAATCAACACGCAGTAAAATTAGCCCGGCGAAGGACCCAACCATATGCGGTTGTGAATCTCGTCGTTGTCAATACCGTCTTCCATCTTCCTCACGGGGCCACAAAGCGCGTTACGGGTGTGCCGAAACGTGGCGGTGCCACCGCGCGGGCGCTGTGCAACTGGGGCCTTCGAGCATCGCGAGGAAAACGGCATGGAGGACGGGGGCCAGCAACAAGGGCCACTGGGGCCGTCGGTTGAGCTCCCTATGGGGCCACGGAGCATGTGAGGGGCACACAACAGTGGTGGGTGGGACCGCATGCGGGCGTTGCCACTGGAGCCTTAGGTGGAGCTTCCTATGGCATAGCCCTGTGGGGCCACGGAACGTATGAGGAGGTCGCCGACATGATGGGTGGAACTGCATGCGGGCGCTGCCACTGGGGCCTTCAGTGGAGCTCCCTATGGGGCAACGAAGCGTCCGAAGGGTGCACTGGAATGCACGGTGGAACCGCATGCGGGCGCTGCCACTGCGGCCTTCGGTGGGGCTCCCTATGGGCCCACAAAACATTTGCGGGGCGTACCGAAATGTCAGGTGGAACTGCATGCGGGCGCTGCCATGGAGCCTTCGGTGTAATTCTCTATGGGGCCACGAACCGTGGAAGCGGTGCACCGACATGGCAGGTGGAACCGCATGCGGGGGCTGCCACTGGGGCATTCGGTGGGGTTCCCTATTTGGCCACGAAACGCGTGAGGAACGTACCGAAATGGAAGGTGGAACTGCATGAGGGCGCTGCCACTGGGGCCTTCGGTGGGGCTTCCTATGGGCCCACGAAGCGTGTGCTGGGCGTACCGAAACGCAATGTGAAACTGCATTCGGGCGCTGCCTCTGGGGCCTTCGGTGGAGCCCCCTATGTGTCCACAGAGCGTGTGAGGGTGAACCGAAATGGAGGGTGAAACCGGACGCGGACGCTTCCACTGGGGCCTTCGGTGGGGCTCCCTTTGGGCCCACGACACCTGTGAGGGACGTACCGACATGGAAGGTGGAACTGCATGCGGGCGCTGTCACTGGGGCCTTCGGTGGGGCTCCCTATGGGCCCACGAAGCGTGTGCGGGGCGTACCGAAACGCAAAGTGAAACTGCATTCGGGCGCTGCCTCTGGGGCCCTCGGAGGAGCTCCCGATGGGCCCACGAAGCGTGCGCGGGGTGCACCGACATGAGGGTGGAACCGCATGCGGGCGCTGCCTCTTGGCCTTCGGTGGAGCTCCCTGCGGGGCCACGAAGCGTGTAAGGGGTACACCGAAATTGGATCGGAACCGCATGCGGGCGCTGCCCCTGGGGCCTTGGGTGGAGCTGCTTATGAGGTCACGCAACGTGTGGGGGGGCGCCGAAATGGTTGACTGCAGGCGCGGAGGACAGAGACAGGAATGGGAGGAGGGAGGGGGAGGAGGAGGAGGAGGCGGGAGGGAGGGACGCGCGGCGCTGTCTCTTTAAAACGAAGACCCCACAACCGATTGGTTGGAAATAACAGCGAACACCAACATACCGTTTCAAACACGTATAAACATGTTAAGCAGACGCATCGACCCGGTGGAGCATGTTGTACTACAGTCAATCATATGATTAAAACATATCAATTATAAGAAAGCTGGGCCAGCTTTTCAGAAGTTTATTCAGGAAACGCTGGGCCAGCTTTTGGAGCCAGGAACGTACGTTGTTCATTTCTAGGATCCAAAGCTACCAATCCCCTTAAGAAACTGAGCCAGCTTTCCGGCAAGTTGGTTCAGAAACGCTGGGCCAACTTTTCGGGGGGAGGTTTCCTACTCATAAGCGGAACCGTATGTGTTTTGACCTTCGGTCTGTGCTGGGCGAGATTCGACACCGTGAGAACAGGCAACATCGGAGGCTATCATGACCCGAGCTCTCGCCGTGTCCGCCTAGTGGCAGCTCCAGAGCCGGCAGGATCTGCGAGGGTGTCGGACGCCCGCGTCCGAGCGAGAACGCCAGCCGTGCAGTCTGCACGTCCAGATCTGAGGGCTGAGCCTCGTTGAACCGGTCCCCATCACCACCAGCGTGGGCTGGGCCCCACTGGCCGACTTACCCCCCCCGGATGGGGATGTAGGCGTTTTCCCTTCGGGCTCCGAGGGGCACATCCCCAACTGGGGTGGCGGGATGGTGGGGATCGGGATGGGGATGGGAATGGGGATGGGGATCGGCTAACCGATACTGAAGGGCCCTGGGGAAACCAAGGGGTACCGATACCGCTACTCCCCGGACCTCTCCCGGGGTGCGTTCTGACCAGAATCTCGAGGCGAATCCAACGGTGGCGACGAGGGCTGCCCAGGAGGCCCAAAAAGGGGAAACCTGCGAAGGGCGGACGGCAGAGGTAGGGGTACCTCTTCCTCCTCTGGAGGCCCACTCTCGCTCCACTCCCTGCGCCAGGGCAGACTTCGAGGCGAGCAAAAGCTGCTGCTGCAGACGCCACTGCCGGTGGTCCTGGCCATAGGGCTCCCGGGGCCGAGCTGGCGGAGAGGCATCGGCCGGCGGCAGATCGCAGCCTGCAGCGCCCCCCGGGGGACTGCAGCCTGCCCTCCGATGCAGATCATCGTTTTTTTTTCCTCGGTCTTTCGTGCACATCCTCGTCCTCCTCCTCCTCCTCCGTCCTCCTCCGTCCTCCTCCCTTCTCCTCCTCCTCGTCCTCCTCCTCCTCCTCCTTCTCCTCCTCCTCCTCCTCCTCCTGCGGCTCCTTTTCCCAATCCCCACCCGCCTCTCCCTTGGCTCCCCCGTCCTCCCTTCTCCCTCCTCACCCTCGTCCTTCTCTTCCCCCACCCGCCCGACTGCTTGGGGAGGCCGTGCCCGCAACAATGCCCGTCCGCGCGACAGTGGCATCTGAGCCGCCGGCATGAACATGTTGGGCGGCGTGAACGGCGCGATGCCCATGAGAGCCATCCAGAATCCGCCCGCGGAGACGGCCGCAGAGGTGTCCAGGGCAGACTGGACCTCTCGGCGGTGCGCAGACCCTCAGATCCGCGCGTTGCAACTTTTTCGCGACGGGCGTTTCCCCCCGATATAGGGCCCCGGGGCCCTCACAGGCGGGACCCGCTCGCAAACATAACGCAAACAGATGTGGTCTGGAGATCCGGTGATGATGTCCTGCGATGCTGCAATTCTGTGTCGCAGAGTTGAGGTCGGGCGTGTCCGCCTACTTTGGACGAAATCTGAAAAATAGTCAAATCATGTCCCAAAATAGTTAACAGAAAATCTAAAAATCGCCCCGAGACTATTTCGTAGCCATTTTTGGATATCCCTCCGACTTAACGCAGCGTCAGATCTCAGGGGAGGTGGTCGACGCGAGGCGGGCGGCCTCGTCAGAGAGCACCAGGGGGGGGCCTCTCAGAAGCCCTCCCGTCTTGCGGCCAGCCCTCCGAAGAGCCTCCCAGCCCTGCTGCGGCGGAAGCATTGGATAAGGAACCCTTAGATAAGGAATCCAGGGTCTGGAAGCTTGTGGAACATCAGTTGAGGTTTGGCCATGGATCTCACGGCTGCCCTCATCGGATAAGGAATCCTCCAGGGTCTGAAGCCTCCTGGACGCATTCCTCAACGAACGCCCCCACCCTACCTGAGCAGGCCCGTGCCTGCCTGAGGAGGCCGCCCAGCCCCCCTGCCGCACCCTGCTGAGGCGAAGCCAGGACAAAGATGACATCGTGTGAGGATACACCAGGGGACCTCTGAGACCCAGCGGCTCTGGAAGATGTCGCGGGCGCCGCGGCCTTCTCAGAGCGTCCCGGAACGCCCAGAGAGCGTCCGGTCACGCTCTGGAGCGGACTTCATCCTCGTCCTAGCCCCGTCCGACCCGCCCCCCTTCCTCGCCATCGCTCGAACGTCCGTTCCCCGTGCATTTGTCGCTTTCGCGCGTGCTTCTTTCGCCAGAGGATCAAGGATACTCCTCGAGGACCCTCGCCGAAGAAAAGGTGCACACGTCTCGGACCGGGCGAAAGAGGGGGATAGCAGAAGGGGGTTTAGAGAAACAGCTTACGCAGTTGATTTTCCCGGCGGCCCCCGGCGCCAGACGCGCCCATATGTACCAATGGGTCCCTCGGTGGGGCCGAAACCAGCTGCATTTGCGGCAGATTTCGTAATGACTCCCCCTTTCCAAATCCCCCCTTTCGTCCAGCTCGAACGTCCGAGCGACGCCGAGCTCCTGTCGGCTACACGCAAGACTGACCCTGGGTAAGAGTGACCTCTGATGCACGGCAGTGGCGCGCAAGACGCCACTGCCGCTTCGCGTTCGGCGATCGGGGGACCCCATTTGGCCCGCACCGCAGGTCACTTCGGCGAGAGATCACTCTTACGTCTAGTCGATTCTGCACACCGCCGAGCCTCGCCGAACTGCTTCTCCAGGCCCCTGGCCCGCCAAAGCACGCGGGGGCCAGCGTCCGCGGCCGCGCCCGGCGCCTGCGCGGGCGCCCGCTCGACACCACACCCCGACCACGTGTAGGTCGGGCATGCCCTCCTACAGGGGGATGTTGGACGAACAAATTAACACAACCAAACAAGAATCAAAAACCGGAGGTGAGGGGGTGGGATCGAAGTGGAACGGAGAGCCCCCCTACCGGGAAATCGGTTTCGGTTTCGTGTTCGTGCGTGCCGTGCGTGCGGGCGAGGCGAAGCTGCGTGGGCGGGCGCGAAAAAAGTCTCCTCCGACTGAGGCGCGGCCGGACCAAATGTTTCCTGACCCGGGGCCGGTGGCGCGCGGTGTCCCGCCGGTGTCCCGCCTCCGGCTGAGGCGCGGCCGGACCAAATGATTCCTGACCGGGGGGCCGGTGGCGCGCGGTGTCCCGCCAGTGTCCCGTCGGTGTCCCGATGATGATGATGATGATGATGATGATGATGATGATGATGATGATGATGATGATGATGATGATGATGATGATGATATGATAATGATGATGATGATGATGATGATGATGATGATGACGATGATGATGATGATGATAATGATGATGATGATGATGATGCCGATGATGATGATGATGATGATGATGATGATGATGATGATGGTGATGGTGGTGATGATGAGCCGAGATGATGATGATGTTGATGATGATGATTATATTGACGATGTTGATGATGATGATGATCGTGATGGTGGTGAGGATGATGGTGTCCCTATGATGATGATGTTTATGATGATGATGATGATGATGATGATGATGATGATGATGATGTTGCTGCTGATGATGAAAGTGTCCCGATGATGATTGTGACGATGAGGTTGATGATGATGTTGATGGTACTGATGAGATGATGATGAAGATGATGATGATGAGGTTTATGATAATGCTCTTGATGATGATGGTGATGATGATGGTGCCCCGATGATGATGATGTTGATGCTGATAACGACACTGATGGTGTCCCTATGATGATGATGTTGATGCTGAGGATGATGATGAGGTGATGCGGATGAGTTTGATGATGGAGGTCCGATGATGGAGATGATGATGCTGATGTTGACGATGATGATGGCGTCCCGATGATGATGATGATGTTGATGATGATGATGACGGTGACGATGATGCTGGTGCCCCGATGATGACGATGATGTTGATGATGATGATGCTGATGATGATGGTGTCCCAATGATGATGATGATGATGATGATGATGATGATGTTGATGTTGTTCATGATGATGATATGCTGATGATGATGGTGGTGTTCCGATGATGATGATGGTTCCCGATGATGATGATGTTGATGATGATGGCGACGATGATGGTGTCCCGATGATGATGATGGTGATGATGATGATGTTGATGATGACGGTGATGAGGTGATGATGATGTCCCGATGATGATGACGACGTTGTTGACGATGATGTTGATGATGATGATGACGTTGATTGTGAGATCGATTGTGATATCGATAGTGAGCTCGATAGTGAGACCGAATGTGAGATCAATTGTGAGATCGATAGTGAGATCGAGAGTGAGATCGATGGTGAGATCGATAGTCAGATCGATTGTGAGATCGATCGAATGAAATAGATCGAGTGAGATCGATTGTGAGATCGATCGAGTGAGAACGATCGAGCAAGTCCGATTGTGAGATCGATAGTGAGATCGATAGTGAGACCGATCGAGTGAGACGGTGCATCCTCCCCCCAACCGAACCTCCTTATCACCCGAAGGGTGGTCGTATAGGTAGCCAACAGTGATAGAAAAATCGCCCCAGTATCTTCTTTCTTGTGCGACTCTTTCTGAATATTCTCCCTGTAGAGGGGCAAGCCCGACTCAAGACCACTGCCCAAGCACACCCTGGGCTGGGGGCTCGGCGAGCCCGCCCGCCCGGCCATGGAGGCGCGAGCACCCCCGCACTCTGCGCCCAGGAGGCGCCAGCCCAGGACAGGCCGAGCGTGCACACTGCCTACACGCAGGAGCGACCCTGGGCAAGAATGACATCGGTCATGTGGCATCCTCGGAGGGCCTCGTCTGCCCCGTCGCGGTCCTGTCCGCGTCGGATCCGTGTCCAGTCCGTGCCGGATCCACGTCGAGTCCACGACGAGTCCGCGTCAAGTCCGCATGGAGCCCTCGCTGGGCACAGGAAAGGGCGCCCATTCTTGGGACAGACGAGGTCCCCCGAAGGTGCGGCGTATAACTAGCATCCGGTGCGCGGTCTGCCGATCACTCCGCGCGAGGGCGCGACAGCAGCGGCCTGCGTGCTCGGGGCTGGGCCCCCCCCCCGAAGGCCGTGCACCAAAGGCCACCTCGGCGAAGGGCCACTCCCACCTGCAGCCGAGCATGCCCTGGGGAGCGTCTTTTTTTGCTCGGCGTTTCGACAGTGAGCGGCAAGGGGGGGAGGAGGGGAGGGGGGAGGCTGGCTCCCGACCTCTGCTCAGTGCGACTGTTTGCAGCAGGTGGGTCCTATGAAGGGAGACTCCACCTGCTCGAAACAGGCACCCCCCCAAAAAGCCAAGATCTACTCCATGGGGTGGGGGAGGGGGGTGCGAGGGCCCGCGCCGATCGGCAAAAGAAATAATTATCAAAAACGCTCACCTGGCGCTCGCCGATGTGCTTGTTTCGATGCGCGGCCCTAGCGGTCTCCGCCGCTTCCCCACGGGCAGCCCCTCACCCAGAGGTGTGTCTGATGGCCCCGAGGCCCGAGATCGGCCCCTGTAGGCCGGCATGGAGGAAAGCAACTGGGGCTTCTGAGCAAGCGAGGGCTTGGAGATCTATGTCCGAGCGCCGTCTCTGGAGCAGGGCCCGACCGCCCCGGCATCCTCATGGGCCTGCCACGACACGTTCTTCGGACAGAAGGGTGCTCTCATAACAACAAACATGTTCTGGCAACATACGCCCGATGTGTTCAAGCACCAATATGCGGGCAATGAGCGTCGCAGCAAACGCCAGAAAAAGCACTTCCGGCTACACCCAGTCACTCCCAGTTGCACGCAGTTGCAACCAGTTACACCCAGTGGCACGCATTTGCGCCCAAACGCACCCAGTTACACCCAGTTGCACGCAATTTCACAAAATTCCACCGAGATGCCCAACACTAGCTTTTTGTGCAGAATCCCCCCCCCGGGCCTCTGGCATCCCGCAAAGGCGAGACCTCGACCCTTGATCCTCGCCACCACCTCGGTTCTCGTCCTTCGATCATCGCCAACGCCTCGATCCTCGGAACCCGATCCTCGATCCTCGATCATCGCCAACGCCCCGATCCTCGAAACCCGATCCTCGATCCTCGATCCCCGAACCCGAGCCTTCGATCATCGCCAAGCCCTCGACCCTCGAAGCCCGATCCTCGATCCTCCTCACAACGTCGACCCTCGGTCCGTGTGAAACCTGCGTTCTCGACCCTCGACCATCGCCAAACACTCGAGGCTCGAAACCCGATCCACGATCTTTCGAAAACCCTCGATTCCAAATCTTCGATCTTCAAAGTAAGACTCGAACCTCAATTTACGATCCTCGATCCTCCCAAGGAGCCCTCATTCCACAACGTTCGATCGTCATCATCACCACCATCCTCATCGTCAGGATCATTATCAACGGCATCACCATCCTGAACATGATACTGGTCATGGTTATGAGGATCAGTAGCATCATCACCACCACCATCATTATCAAGTGTGTCATCATCATCATCATCATCATCATCGTCATCAACAGCATCATCATCATCATCATCAACATCATCATCATCATCATCATCATCATCAACATCAGCATCAGCATCATCCGCATCACCATCACCATCATCATCATCATCATCATCATCATCATCATCATCATCATCATCATCATCATCATCAACATCACCATCATCATCAGCAGCATCAGCATCAGCATCATCAGCAGCATCGTCAACATTGCAATCACAATCATCCTGATCCTGATCATCATCATAAATATCAATTGCATCAACATTGCAATTGTCATCATCAATCTCATCATGATCCTCACTATTCTCACAATCATCATCATGGGGAATTGGAACGACCCGCGCGCAGCCGTGGGATCCATCAGGGGCAGAGCCGTCGGAGGCTAGATGAGGCCATGCTCAGCCCCCCCACCGTCCGCCGCCGAAGCTGGCCGCGGGGCGGGGCAGCCTGCAGCGCACAACCTTTCCCACCATCATCATGGTCAACATCACCACCGTCACCATGACCGTCAATCATCGTCACCTTCCCCAGCGTCATCATCATCGTCATCCGCATCATCATCATCATCATCATGATCATCATCATCATCAACAACATCATCATCATCAGCATGATCATGGTCGTGATCATGACAATAAGAATCACCATCAGCAGCAGCAGCAGCAACAACGTCATCACCATCATCATCACCATCATCAGCATCAACCTCATCATCATCATCATCGGCGTCAGCGTCGGCGTCATCATCATCGTGATCAGCATCACCAACATCATCACCATCATCATCATCAGCATCATCATCATCATCATCATCATCATCACCATGACCATCACCATCATCGTCGTCATCATCATCACACTCATCATGAATGTGCAGAATCCGCGCTAAACCGTGGACTTCATCAGGGGCAAAGACTTCGGAGGCTAGAGGAGGCCATGGAAGCCCCGCGCCGACCAACCACCGCCAAAGCTGATCGCGGGGGGCAGGAGAAAATTCTGTACAATAAGCTGGCTACATAAAGAGTCCACCACCAACACCACCATCAACACATCAACACCATCATCAGCATCATCATCATCACCGTCAACATCATCATCACCATCATCAGCATCATCTTCATCATCAGGACCATCATCATCAAGATCAACATCAGCACCATCATCATCGTCATCATCAATATCATCCTTATCCTCACTATTCTCACAATCATCATCATGGGGAATTGGACGAACTCGCGCGAAGCCATGGGACCCACCATGGGAAGAGCCATCGGAGGCGAGGAAGGCCAT